CCTGCTCCATGCTCTCAGATGCAAGCTTCAATTGGCATGGCTTTGATCTCTCATCAAGCTTGTGCCAATATGGTAAGCTCTCATGGTTCGCATGGTTCCAGCTCTCATGCTTCACACAGAAGCCCATCAACCATCATCTATCATCAGGTCATCACCTTTATTATGGGTTTGTGGTCTCCAATACCTCCAAACTCAAACCTTCCAACAGAGGTTGAAGAACCCTATAGACTATCCCATAGGGACCCCAGTAGGGTCCTATAAGGTCACTTATGTAACCTCTCTTGGTTGTTGACCTTGTTGACCTTGAACGGGGGGTGATCCCAAAATCACAAACAGCACCGAAACGTCCATGGAGTCCATGGAGCCGATTTAGATCAAGCACCCGAAGACGCCCCGCCCAAGATCGAAGCCCACCTGAACATCTAATGGTGCCACTGATATCATACACCCCCCGATATTTTCAGAGGACGTTCAATTCAAAATGGAGAGGGTTTCTTCATCAAGAGCCTAAACCATTCCGACTGCACGACCGCACGCCGCACGCCGAACCCGTCGGGCCGCTCGAACGCACATCGCCGCACTGGGACCTCGGCCGGATCGACCTTCGCGCGGTGCTGTGCTTCAAGGCCGGTCGCGTTCGCCCAAGATCGACCGGAAGCTGCGAGCGAAATCAGTACTGGGTGAAGGAAGGGACCCCAAAAACGCTCCCCAACTGAGCAAAACTCGATCTCACCTCCCATGATCTGAACGTTTGCGACTGCAAGACTTCCACATGCACACACACACTCACATCAAGCACCATTTTAAAGTCGGCCGTTGCTTCCCGGATCCAGTGCTGAAGTCACCAGAGAAGGCATTTGCACGACAACACGAAAGCAGCAGTCGTCCGCCATCGGCAGCGGCCATTTTTTCGCGATGGGCCTCTTGGTTTGGAGGAGAGGCGGTGGGAAAGGATGCAGGAGAGAACCAAGTGATGCAGACAAGATGAGACAACCCTGGTGACAACCCTGTGACACCATTTGCTATGCAACAGGTTTGTGCAAGAAAAAGGTGTTTGTTCTCTTTGGAGGCAGAAGGCTGGACACCATACGGACAGCTGGGGTTGCGCTGTTATTTTTCGTGCCACAAGTACAATTCTGCCCAGCAATGGTCACCGGTTGCTTTGCTGACAGCACTTTATTAATGGCGCTGCACTTTTGGTTGGTTGCAAGATGTTGCAAGCATGACACAAAAGTGCATCTATGTCAAAAAAACGGACCCGAAGTGAGTGGATGTTCTGGGCACCAATGGCAGGCAAAGCAACACATTTACACACGGACTCCACGCAGGGGGAACATGGGATTTGATGTTTGCATCTGAAAGCACACCGCGTTCGAACACCCGTGGCGTGACAGATACCACCGGTGCAGAACACCAGCTTGGACAGGTACCATGCGAAAGGAAGGCGCCAAGGCGCCACAGGACTCCCAACATCCGGGGTGTTGTCCAAAGGAGACGGTCGGTCCTTCTATTCATGCTCGTCCGCCATCATGCGGAGTCGACTCGGCGGAAGGTCGGATGCTGGATGCGCATCCTTTTCTGACCCTGGAGGGGTGGGTGAAACAAGTCGAAAAGGAATCCATCTTTTACAACATGTTTTGGAGAAGGACATCAGAGCCACATGGCCTTGAAGTTCAACAACAGGGCTCTGACAAAAACGGACCAGGTCATTGAAGGGATCAGTCGACAGGTTGCCTTTTCACCCACCAGGAAAAGACGAGTTGACAGGGAAAGCCCCAGTCGACCGGAAACCGGACTCATCGATTCGGGGGTCCATGGGACCGGAGAAAAGGCCAGGAATGGTACCTACTGACAGATGGTACCATGTGGGGTACCATGTGGCCTACAGACCTATACTTGTTTTTGAAGGTGTTTTAAGGGTCAATGTAGCTTTACGAGATTCCAGTCCCATATGGATTGTTGGGGGGATGTCACGGTCCGCTCTTCCTACCCCTTCGTTTTTGAATGGATTGAGGGGTCGAATCGTCGTCGTCCGCTTCCCGCTGAGGCAACTATTCGTCGTCGTCTTCATCAGACTTGCAACAACCGGACCCCTGGGGCAGATGGGAATCGATGCTTCGCGGCCTCGGGATATTCCACGAGTGGACCGGCGGACTGGCATGCTAAGGACTGGCTAGTCGGCATGCTAGTCGGCATGCCAGTCCTCGAAAGATCCAACGATTCACTGGTTTTCAACCAAGCTCCAAGCTCCATGCATATATCCATGCATCGGTGATACATCGTTGAACGTGAAAAGTCAAGCTGTCCATGAAATGCTGCAGTTTATGAACGGGCTTTGCCCTGGAGCCAGGCTGTTTTGCAGCATCAGGTTGGTACCGAAACCGATCGATTGTTGTGAACAGAAGAGTGAACGAGCGACAAATCACATGCTAAATCCATCTAAATCCGCATATCGTCCTGCTGGAGCACCGGAGAATGGGAGAATGGGATCACAATCAACATCAACCAACCAACAGGTGGGGTTTGTGCCATATCTGTATATACTGTAACAGGTGGGGGTTGTGCCATGTCTATATATACGCTGAAAATCTATATACTGTATACTCTGAATTTCGCTGAAATCACAGTAGTTTCAGTTCCAGCCTCTTTCAGGCCTGGATTCCCGATAGTTCAGACGTGGATGCTTGTGTAAGCACAGACCTGCATGGCGTGTCAGTAACTCCTCAGCATGTCACGATTGAACCAATCTATAGTTTCCCTATTATCCTTTGTTATCCTTTGTTCAAGTCGTGTCAGGACCAGAACTCCAATATGGCAGCATTTGCCAGCGTTCCCCCTTCTTTCAGGCCCTTGCCAAAGGGCTCAGTTTTTTTTTTTTTTTTTTTTTAATCTTTTTTGTGCACCTTTTGTCCTGTTTCAAAAGCGGCGAGCAGCATCGCACGCAGCATCGCGCGCAGCAACGCGCGATGCGCAGGAGGATTACTCTCTGGGCGACTTCGGCAAGCAATATGTTTTAGGCGAGGGAGTTGTTGGAACGTGCAGGTGTTATCACGTCTTCAGCGGCGGTCAGGGCGGCCTGAGAGGTAGGGATTATTTGGGACAGGGCTGAGATGCAGGAGCTAGACATAAGAGGAGTAACAAGTAAAGTTCTGGTTCTTGGACTAAATTGACATGTATACCATCTTACATGTCTTACATTATTGTGTTGACTTTTAGAGTGCTACGGTGGTGGGTTTCTTTGTACCCGTTCTGGACAACCTCTCCACCCCGGTGCACCCGCCGGGTCCGGGGCGAAGCGCCAGGAAAGCAAATCGGCAAAGGATCCCAGGCCGCACCCGTCGCGTTGGGTCCCGAAGTGCGGTGGAGCACGGTGCCCTATACCGGTGGTTGATACGAAGCAAGAAAATAGGGCAGGTTCTGTTTGGGTGGAAGGTGCCAGTGTTTTGCTCGTGATCCCCTGTGATTTTCCCCAAAAAACGGCGAGAAAAGGTAGGGTTTTTGGTTCAAGACAGAAGAGATCCGATCCGATCGACCCGGGCGGATCGGCCCTGGCGGGTGGGGTGGGGCCATATGCGTGAATCAGTTGGGGTGGGTCAATATCCATGTAGGTGTACAGGTTCCATACATGGAGTGTCAGGCATGGTGGGCTTGGCTCAGGATCTGTGGACGTCATGTGGACGTCATTAGGAACGAGCGATCGGGAAGCTCTCTTATATAGACTCATAGACATTTAGACAGCAGCCAAGAGCTGTTTGGAGGACAAGACCCTTTTTTGGCCTACCCAGCAGAGATCTTTAGGGAGTATTCCATGTTCCATGAAGATGCCGGGTAACATGTCCTAAACGAAATCAGGTCCACTCCCACCATGACCATGCCAATTTCCATGTTCTTCCATGAAGGTTCTTTTTCTTTGCCACTGCGATCCAATCGCAGATGAACTCGCCCCAGACGACCGACCCGAACCCCCAGACCAGTCGACCCTTCTCGTCACCCACGTTCCACCTGCGCTCCGAACCGAACCGCTCCGCCCCGGCGCAGGGTGTGGTGCATGTTTGTCACCATCGGGAGAGCGGAGCCTGCAAAGCAGTCAAGGTCAGACGTCCACCGCACCGGGACGAGCGCGCAGCGGACCGGGACGGTCGCGCGGGGTACGTCCAACGCGGAAGGTGGAAGGGATCGGCTGCGTCGGTTGGGTGAGAGAGAAAGAAATGGGTCCAGTCAGCTAGTTGAGCATCCAACGAGCTTGGAGGTGCTTGGAGGATACTTGCATAGATTTGAGAGATGCAACTATCAGTTATGTCAGCTTAGCCTCTCAAATGTTTCATGTTTACTTGGAAGAACCCTGCTTTTGCTGCTGAGATGTGCTCACAAGACTTTTGGCTCGCCCCAAACATTTCTTGTGCAGCAGCTACATACTGGTACTTGGAACGTTGATGACCTTGAAAAAGAAATGCCTTTTCAACAAATACATGTGTTTTATGACTGTTTAGCAATAGACTCGCCTATCTTGACATGACTTAACATGATGTATGTATTTTTGTGAAAGTGACGTAAACCCCAAAAACGGTACATAGATTTAAGTATGGTTGTCCATATTGAGTCCATATGTTGCCCAGTTTCAGTGATATGCTGGGTTCAAGAACTTGTTGAACACCAAAGGTTTACACAAAAGGTTCTGAGATGCATCGAGGGATGGATCCTTCAGCTCCCAATATGGAAAAAAAAACATTGCCGTTCACGGCTTCAGGCTTTCTAATCATTCAGGTATTCTCTAGTGTGCTGCAGGTGACAAGGTCCCGACACTATTTGCCTATAGACATGTTTGTCATGTATTCACATATGTCACTTTGTTCTTTTTCTCTGGTAGTGTTACGTCTCATATATGTTCCTTTCTTAGGACAGAATGTTCGCGAACTGCACGGGGGACCCGGGGCGGAACGGACCCAAGACATCCAAGACGGACCGGTGGATGTTCGCCCAGCGGCGGCAGCGGCCGCCAGATGCTCGACCGGAAAAACAAAACGGCCTGGGCCACCTACAAACGAGAGGCTCGACCGGGAGAGAACAGGGCTCCGACGCAGGGCTGGAGGGTGTCGGGTGCGCCTGTTTTTTCTGCGTGAGGCTTGCATGGTTCGAGAACAGGGCGAAAGAATGAATTTGGCCATGGAGTGGTAGCGAAGCCATTTTGGATGGGAAGTGGGAAAGAAGCAGGGATCATTGCATGAGAATCTTATTGATGTTTAGAAGGCAAAAAGCACCAATCATTGACAAGAACTGATTGGTCAGCTATTGCCATTTGGTCAGCAGTTACGGCATCAGTTTGGCCTTGTGTTTTGTCTTTAGTTTGGTGACGTATGGGGGAACTTTAGCTCGGACCGACATGAGGATTCTGTTGTGTGGGTCGCAACAGACCCAAAGGGCAGCACACGTCCTTTCTCCTTAACAGGGTGCTTCTGTGCGATCATCCGTTTGCTCAACATGTGTAGTACGTGTTTGGTTTCCTGAACAGTCCCAGATTCTAAGCTGGGTCATGCTGGGTCTTTGCTTCGGTTCGTCCTTCGGCTTCTGGTTCATGTCCGCTTCCGCTTCCACAGGTGGAGTTGTCACAAGCTACGACTGGAAAGAACATCGCCAGCGTTCTCGAGGAACCGGTCGACGACCAGTCGACCGGGACATGGCGAGAGAGTGAGGCACCTGTGAGGCACCAGTGAGGCATGGAGAGTGAGGGTTTCAAACGGGTACAGTACCCGTGCACGCACTGCAAGACTGCGGGCTGAAGCTGCAAGTATCCGATATACCTAGAACCTGAATGACCTCTAATTTGGACCACCAACCACCCAAAAATAGGGCCTTTTCCTATCACAACAGGGGTTGGGTTCCAGGTAATTAATAGTAATATTGGTAGATACTGGATGATGCCTGGTAGTAGTAGTAGTAGTAGTAGTAGTAGTAGTAGTAGTCGTAGTGGTAGTGGTAGTGGTAGTGGTAGTAGCAGGAGTAGTAGTATATAGTAGTAGTTGTTGTAGTAGTAGTAGTAGTTGTAGTAGTAGTAGTAGTGGTAGTGGTAGTGGTAGTCGCAGGAGTAGTAGTAGTAGTAGTTGTTGTTGTTGTTGTAGTAGTTGTAGTAGTAGTAGTAGTAGTAGTAGTAGTAGTAGTAGTAGTAGGGGGTGTGTCCTTTCTGTTGATTTGGTGGCCACCGAGTTTTTGGCTGCCGCCGCAGTTTGCGGGGGGTGCAGAAGCCCGAAGGGCCGAATGAATCTGGACGAGGAGGTCGGAGGTGCCCTTTGGCATCCTGTGGCGGGGATGGACCTATGTTCCAGGCTTTCATCCCAAAAAACATAATTACAGTGGGTTCAAGAGTAGATGGATGTAGATGGCAGAATCTCCCAATGGCCAATGGCGGTGGTCTACAATGGACCTCTATTTGACTCTATCTAAAGGACAACTTGGGGTGCCAGTGCCATCTACTCTGAAACCACTGTAGATAGGAGTGATGTGCTCCTCGCATGCTCCAGGAATTCGTGGACGCCGAGCGGTGCTATGTCATCATGGAGAAGTTCGAGGCGGTTGGGTCGTTCGGGGCTCGACCTGAAAGGAAACCAAAAGGGGGGAAGTCCGACTCGACGCTTCTACAGGGCTCGTCAAAGGTCTCAGGACGTCGAGACTCGTGAGGCAGTGGGGTGGCGGGGAGAGACGTGCCGGTGTCCGATCCTGGTTTTTCAAACCGTGCACGCCCAAGGCCCAAGGCCGTGGGGTATCAAATAGAAAAACACATGTTCCCAGGCACACCTTAGCTGTATATACTTGGCAACATCGACTGGCATGCATGTTTGCCTTTCCATCCACAGAAAACCTTCCAAATAAGATAGACACTGCACCATTGGAACTCATATCTCGCCGTTTGGTCGCGATCGCCGATGAGAGGGACAGCTTGGAGAAGCCGACCAGACAGCTCGTCCGGTCAAGGAACTATACACAACCGCTTCCTGGAGGTTTGTGACTCTGGCACCAGACTGGTTGTTCCATGTGGGTGTGTATTCAAATTGGAGAGACCTCCCAGGCAACGACCCCCTGGAAGAGAAATAGACCAAAACCCGAGTGGGCCACGGGTTTACGGGGTCTCCCCTACTATAAGAAACACCCACCCTCATGTTGTTCCATGTTCCCAATTGCGGTATTTTTACACTGGTAGGAACTGAAGTGGGCCAGCTGCGCCAGCTGCGATCGATGTGTATGGACAAAGAGGGCGATGACTGTGGAAAGAGCCCATCACGGCGTGTCGGCACGGTGGAGCCCAACGCTTGCTGCTCCAGCAGCAGGGTGCTTCTGAGACATGTGAACATGAGCTTGGCCAGAACCCATGAACACCTCAGACGGGTAAACGTGTCCAAAGGCTGTGACTATGACTGGACCCCAAACGGATTCAGTAGAAGTCTGTTTTGTTGATCAAGGATGAATGGCCTGACAGCTTGCCAGGTGTGTTCAACTGAGTTGTTCTTTTGTGAAACCTGCCGCAGACATCAACACCCTGTGAGTTTACAAAGGCACAACCCAAAAAAGATCACTCTGACTCTGCCCGATACAAGATGTAAACATAATATGACCCCTGCGAAGCTGGCTGGCGTGACACGCCAGTCCCGGAATGCAGTGCCCAGGACACTGGGGGAAGAAGTGACACCTACCTCAAAAAGACCAAGATTGGTAGAGTTAGGGTTTGTCGCAGTAAACTTCTAATAGTCGGTATAACATGGTATAAACACTTACTTATCACGTCAGGGTCTGAGGGGGGTGATAGTAGCTAGTTTAGTATAGTATATAACTAGTGCCTTAAGAAATTTGTGTAATGCTTTTGTCCAGGTTTTGTCCTGTTGCTTTGTCGAACGTTAAGCAGACTCAAGGGGAGGTTTAGGGGGGGGTCACCCAATGCCTTTCGTACTGCTTGCCATGTAGCCCGCAAGACCTTTAAACCTGACTCCTTTGTCAACTGGACTTTGACATCTGGCAATCTGAATATTTAGTTCATCCCAGCTGGGAAGGTGGTCCCAATTGGCACATAGCCGTGAGAGTATTGGCTCTTCTCTGTATCAACCAGGAATCCCAAATTACACACTTTGCTCACCACGTGGTTAGTTTTGGTAGCACCTCTAGGTTCCAATAAGAGAAAAGAAGCGTCTACCAATCATATAGCTTATGAAGTTCCAGTACACCCGGACACCTCGCGCCACGGCCACAGGGACACCTACGGAAAGCCTTGAAGTGGGTGGCCAAGGAGACGGGTGATGAGGCCGGACCGGCAGACCGACCGGAGCGAGGAGTCCGGGGGGGGTCGACACGTCGAAAGCGAGGTGGAATCCAATTGGACGTAATTGGAATAACGAGACCGTGTCAAATAAGAGAATATGGTTCATGTAGGGGTTGAGTTTTTGCTTTTGGTTTTGAGGTTCATACTTCAAAATTTCATTTGCAGGTTGGACTCCCAGTGGTTGTTCTACCAATCTTTTGTTTGCATGTTTGCAATTCATTTCAATATAGTCTCCATTTCAAGAGCATTATTTATGACTTGTATGAGCGGAAGACGTTGCACATGATTTTTATACTTTGCCTCGGAACGGTTGGCTGTCAGGTGGCCTCATGTTTGCTTGCTGTTCCTCGAATTGTGAAGGACTCAGTCACAGTCAGGAACAGCGCCCCAAGGAGTGACGCAGCGCCCCAAGGAGTGACGTGCCGGCGCCGACAACGACTGCGTCGGTGTGCCAACGCCGCGGACCGGTGGTCGCCTCGCTCGTCAGACCGCTGGCCTGGACGCCTTATCCTTGGGCAACGTCATGAAGCAGGCGAGGGTTCCCACGGTTTGTTGCGCAACATGTCATGTGTTTGTGTTGGTTCTCGGCCGTCGGAAAAATTGGAAGTGTTGATGATGTGTTTTGTTTTGACAAAAAAACAACATTGCTGTTGGTATATGAGAAAGCACACGGTTTCTGCCCAAGGTTTGATGAACATGGACCAGTTGTGAGTGGTTGAACAAGGTTTTGGCGGGGCGACTGTTGCAGTTGTTGGACCACTTTTTTGATGATTTGTACTAAATGTCTTGACGTGGCACCTGAATTACTTTCCCTGCAGGTCCAGTGTGACCCAGTAAAACGCCCTGTAAGACACTGTAAGACCTCATTGAATAGAATGAGGTCCAACCTGAGCTGAAGATGTTTTGGCAAATAGAATAAGGTCCAATGAGGTCCTCGCCATTTTTTACATGATCGCACAAATATTCCCAATGGCGAGGACCCAGCAATGCAACCAACCATCCACCGAACTGACACCGTTCGGATCGGCTTCCAAGCCGACAGACCGGTACGGCGCCGCGACCGCTGCGCGGGGTCGACCGAACGCGGAGGTCCTCAGCGCCATCCTGCACCTGCACACCTGCGGCGTGGTGCACCGAGACGTCAAGGTCCGTCGGGGTCGCCGGGTCGAAGTTACGGTCCTGCCGGTCAGCGGGTCTGCCGGGTCGGTGTCTGAGTGTTTAGAGAAGCGGAAGGTGCCTGGAACGAAGAAGGTGTCCTACTGAGGTGACTTGGTGAAACAAGAAACGTGGGTTCATTTCATGGGAGGGGACTGAAGCTATCCAATTATGACGATTGATTTTGTGGTGTGTTCTTTGTGTTCGCAAGCTTGGGAGGGACATCCTGTGACAGTCTAGTTGACCACTGGAAGGGCCCCTTGTCACATGGGCTGTATACGGAGACGTGAAAACCATTCTTCACCGAAGCCCATTGATGAGAGACTTGGAACCTCAGAGCCCCATGGGATCGGTTCACATGGAAAGAGCCTGTGTATACCCGCATGGATCTTAAATCACAGCAGAACGCCGTGTTCTCATTCTATCTATTTGTTGTTTTTTTGTCGTTTTGAAGGTCGTGATGCCACCGGCGTGCCGGGTCGACGCGTCGCCAGGCGCACAACTTGCTGATTGACCGATGTGATTTGCGAGACCCCAGGCGGTCCGACCGTCGACGGTCGGACGGTGGGACCGGACCGTGTGGGGAGACAGATGGCGGGTCCGGATGACGTTGGAGGGACGTATTTTGTCTTCCGCATGTGTGTGTTTTGGATGAATGGTGCCTTGGTGGATTGACTCCTGAAACTTGTGGTTTGGTGGATTGACTCCTGAAAATTGTGGTTTGGTGGATTGACTCCTGAAACTGGTGGTTTGGTGGATTGACTCCTGAAACT